GCGTGTGTGGGTGTGTGTGTGTGCGCGTGTGCGTGTGTGTGTGTGTGCACGCATGTGTGCGTGTGTGTGTGCGTGTGCATGTGTGTGTGCGTGCACGCATGTGTGCGTGTGTGTGTGCGCGTGTGCATGTGTGTGCACGCATGTGTGCGCGTGTGCATGTGTGTGCGCGTGTGCGTGTGTGTGTGTGCGCGCATGTGTGCGTGTGTGTGTGTGTGTGTCGGGGCCGGGGCTGCACACAGTACCTCCCCACTCGGCAGCCCTGGTGCTGGGAAGTGGAACTCGGGCCACCTGGATAGCTGGATCTCACAGAGGCCTGCGGGCAGCTCTGATGGGGACAGTGTACGAGCAGGACGAAGCCATAGAGGACGTCAGTCATAGAGGCTACGACAGGGACCAGCTGGCTTCAGAAGGGCCCGGCGGCTGTGGTGTTCGGCCCGCCTGGTCTGCCGAGGGCTGCGGCCCAGCTCAGGGCTGTGCAGTTCTCTGAGCTGGCCCCGGAGCACGCTTGGGATCTTCGTGAGCTCTGGGCCCTGGGAAAGTCACCCCTGCCTCGTGTGCACACTTCAGGGACAGCAGGCAGACCATAAACAGCACTGTCGCTCCAAGGTGATGTTGGCTGTGGACACAGAGAGTCAGGGAAGGGGACAGGGATGTGACGAGGGGAGGAGATTTTCTGAGTACGCTGGTCCGGGTGAGCCCTGCCGGAAAGCGTCCTTGCAGCAGGACGTATGGGGAGTAAGCAATATGCCATGCCGACATCCGGGGACAGAACCTCCCAGCAGAGGCCCCACGGTGGGAGCTTAGGCACAGCGAGGAAGCCAGGCCGCTGGAGCGGAGGGTGGCAGGAGGGGAGGTCAGAGAGGTGGACTGAGGCCTCCTGGGCTTTCGTGGTGAGTGGGCAGGAAAACCACGGCAGGTTTGGAGTCCAACTTAGGGCTGGATGGCCTGTTTGTGGCGGCCATGTCAAGACCAGACTAACAGGTGGTCTCAGCTCCAGCTGCAGGGGCCTGCCTGCTCCCCATCTGGGGTGCACAGGGTGGAGCACTGTCCTGACCTCACCTGGGCCTCACAGAACGTGACTGGGGCACCTGCCATGCCTAGATGACTGCATCTGGCCTGGAAGAGGCCCCGCAGCTGACCTCAGCGGCCCCACTCGTCCATGGGAGCCAGGCAAGAACGGAAAGTGTGTCTGGTTCGAAGCTTGACTGCCAGCTGCAGTTGGCCTTGGGCAAGCACGACCCTCTGAGCTCAGCCTCCCACAGATCGGAGGGACCCGGCCGCCCACCTCGGGTTAAGTGAGTGCTGGGCTGCCGAACAGCCCCCATCCCGACGGCCCACGGTGGAGGGGGCTTCCTTTCTGTGTTGTCAGAAGCCCAGTTTGTTGAATGAATGTTTCGAGGGTTGGAGCTCTGTTCCCGGTGCTCTAGTCTCTGTGTGTCTGTCCCCTACCACGGGGCCTCTGCCTGAAGCCACTGTGGTGGGTGACTGATGGCCGCACACAATGATAGCATGGGAACATGCTGTTCTGTGTCCTGGGTGGCGATCCCTGACACCCTCCTCTAAAGCGACAGTGCTCTCGTCACCCTCGCCCTGTGCACGCGGGGTCAGCCATCCTTTCTTCACGGTGCTGCTTTTCGCTTTCCAGTGTGTTATAATGAAAGGCAGTCATTTTGTAATCAGAAAAAGGGCTGCAGAATTCACAAAGTCCTTTGCTCACAATCGCCCTACTTCATCTCGCAGAGGAGGCCTGTGCGGTTTACCCGACCCCTCACGCGTGGGCAACGAGCACTTCCTGCCTTTGCGGGGGTTACAGGAGAAGCCAGTGCTCAGGAGTGTGGCCTGACCTCACCGAGTCCTCGTTCTCTGCCCAGAGCTCGCTGTAGACATGGCCCTGAATCTCGTTTTACTGGGGTCTCCTCGGCCGCTTCTACCCCTGTGCCCCTCAGCTGAGGGGATCCCTCTGCATTAAACTGTGTGTAATCTTGGCCAAGCTCCCAGACACAGATCAGACACAGCAAGTGGCTGGGGTCACTGGGGTCCAGGGTCCTGCTCCTGGCCCCCTCCTCAGCCTTTCCCACCAGATCTACTCTGGAGGGGCCCAGAAAGAGTGGTAAGAGCCACTCCAAGGTGGAGAAACAGACCTCGGGAAGAAAAAAAATGAATCGGAATATATTTTACTTTGATAAATGAAAGTCTTTAGTCTTCATATAAAAAGATCGCTTTCATTCTATTTTTAGGGTGCTATTAAATATCTCTGTGACTAGGGAACAAGAGGGAATTGGAAAATCCATTAGCAGAACCTTCTGACCTTAAAGAGCATGAAGCTACCAAAGACAGGAGGCTGATGGGACCAGGCTGCTGTGGAGGCTGTAAATGTGTCCGGGTCCCTCAACCCTCCGAGAATTTACATTTTTAAGGGTAAAACGGGGCTTTGTGGATCTCAGCGCCGCTTTGACCAAGTTGAGCTTTGATTTCCAGATTCCGTACATAGAGACCAGTGCCAAGGACCCACCTCTCAACGTTGACAAAGCCTTCCATGACCTCGTTCGGGTCATCAGGTGAGCCGCGCCCCTGCCCACAGACGGCCCTGCATGTGGTAAGCCCCGGGCCCCAGCTGGGGAAGGCTCCTGCTCCGAGGCCGATTCCCTGTATCTCCTCTTTCCTCCACCCACCTCTGCCCATGCGCCCCAGCCGTCCGGGAAGTCTGCACACACCGTGAAATGGAGACGCTGCCCACCCGGGGTGCCAGCGCTTCTGCAGCTCAGGCTCCCTGGTGTCCCCCAACCCTGACACTTTCAGCACACTGCGAAGGGTCCCCCTCCTCTTTGCTGATAGCAGAGTGCCCTTTGACATTTTCCCTGAACAACCAACTTTCTGATTTCGGGCTCAAATTTCAGAGCATTGCCTGTGTGTCCTATCGGACCCCACATGCTTTCAGCCTCCCGGTATTGTCCACAGCCCTAATAGAGAGACCCTTCCGTATTCCTCCGCAGGTGAGGGCAGGGGCCCAGCCCCAATCCACTCACGCTTAGACGGTGAAAGAGCCTTCTGGCTGCTCTCCCTGGGACCCATCAGGCCCATTTCCCGATCTTAAACACACACAGCAGCCTTGCCCGCGGTCCCCAGCCACCACACGCTGAGATGTGGTCTCGATGCTGGTGACCTCGAGACGGCTGTGAGGTCAGACACAGGGCTTTTGAGGTGTCATGCCCTATCTGCCACCTCTCGTCCCCCACTGTCCACGCACACCCGCGTGAGCACATACTGAATGGCCTCATTTTCTCACTGTTCCCAACATAATGGGGAATATTCCAGACTTCGCTCAAAATGTTGCTTTTTTTTTTTTTTAGAGATTTTTCTGTTGAGCATGTGCGCTCACCGTAGAGACATAGAGACAGGTCCGGGATTCGAACCGTGGTTGGCCATGCGGGAGTTCAGAGCCTTAACCACTACTGACCTGAAATTTTGCTTTTTAAAATTATTTTCTCTTGGGCGTTTCCCCCCTTTAGTATAAGCAACTTCCAGACAGCATATGGTCTTGGTTGTAGACTATAGTCCCAAGGGGAGGTTTCAGACATAGGGAAGGTTAGCAGAAGGTCATCAAAAAGACGACCAGCCAGTGACATGGTGGTTAAGGTGACTAGGTCCCACATGGCCGACTGTGCAGTTTGAGTCCCGGACCTGATGGCTTGAAAAATCACACCGGGTACATGAGTGTCTGTGCCCAAAATCCTGAGAGGAAATGGAGGCGAAGGGATCGCAGTGTGGTCATTGACCCCTGGGGGTGTGCTTTTTCACTTTCTCTCTAGTGATTGCATGTGCCCTATAACAAACTAAAACATAATAATAATTAATTAAAATATAACATATGCCAAAAGCTATTTTGCCCATAGTTTACATTTTCTGTGAAATCGGAAACAGAGAAATAGAGGCCAACAGTTCTCTAAGATGTGACACATACTGTAGTCTATGACTTAAATAAACGTGTCACTAGCAGAAGCCGGAGGGCCCATCAATTGTAGGATTTCGTCTGCCTCTCCTCTCCCACACCAGTTTCTTGGCCTCTCAGGAGATGCTCCTGCAGCAGCTAAGACCACAGCCTCCCTGAGGCCATGCCCGCCGCCCTCACCCACGCTCCCCTGAACAGCCCTCCTCTGCCAGGTGGGGAGCTGCGGACGGAGGGGGCAGAGGAGAAGCAAGCCCGTTTTTGACTTTGTCTTTCTGTTCTTCATTGTTTCAAAAGGCAACAGATTCCAGAGAAAAGCCAGAAGAAGAAGAAAAAGACCAAGTGGCGGGGAGACCGGGCCAGTGGTACCCACAAACTGCAGTGTGTGATCTTGTGATGGGCCGAGGTCCTGGGCACCATGGCCGTGAGCTGGCCAGCCCTCGGGACCCCTCCACTGCCTAACTGCACTGAAAACCATTTCTAACCACGACCTTGGCCCGAGGACTGGGCACGGGAAGGGAGAAAGGGAGGGATGGCCCGGCACAGGCGGGCTGGCTTTGTGGAAGGGCACAGGCTTCCCTGTCCCTCCTGAGAGACAAGGAAGCCACCGTAAGAGAAGCGGCACCCACGCCTCTCGTGTGCCAACTCACCCGTCCCTCCCCTCCTGGTAGGCGTGCTGTGCCCCTGAACCACACAGTGCTGGTTCGCGTGGCCACGACCTCCAGGCACCAAGTACACAAGCCATGGACGAGCTTCTCTGCCCCTGTCCGCAGTGTCTGAGCTCGGATGTCTTTTGTAGACTTTTAAATTATTTTAGTGATGTTATTTTATTAACGGAGTCTGGGCCCACGCCTGGGGAAGTTTCAGCAGGCCTCTCAATGGCGACTTGTCTGGAGGATCGTTTTTCTTCAGCTGAGTGTTCCCAGCAGTGCCAAACCTCCCCTCGATCTGAAAGCAGAGCGACCGAGAGGCCAGAGCTAACGGGGGCCTCGCTGGGGAGACGCCCTCGCAGGCTGGGAGTCGAACCTGGAGGGAAACAGACCTTCCCATGGCCTGGAGAGCGGAGAGGAGATGCGTGTCTGCCCAGAAGCTGTGGCTGTGGTTGAGGGTACGCATACGAGGAAAGAGGGTGTCATGGTGCCGGGGCCATGTCTGGCACGAGCGTGTCCCTTCTTGCAGGGTTTCCATTGTCCCGGAAGTGTGGAAACCCCAGGAAGCCGGTGGCTTTGCCCAAATGTTCCTTTCTATTTCAGACAGTGTGGATGACTTCTGTGTCCCTCCCGGGTTGGGGAGTGGGCCTGGCTCTCTCGGCTGTCTCTCCCTGATTCACATCCCCCATGTTGCTGGCATCTCTGTCGTGAGCGCACTGACACATCAAAGCAGACTAATGGACCCCATCCAGAAAACTCCAGCTCAAGCTGACTCAACCCGAACTGACTCTGCTGTGTCGCCACCAGCACCTGAAGCCGTGTTCCCTTCGCATCACCTGCACCTCTGTGCGCGCTGTCAACAAGCCAGCCCTTCCCAGACTTGCAGATGGAGAACCCGGGCCCTCGTTGCCTTTTGGGAACACTTATTAACCTCTTGGATGTTGGCTATAATGTGTGATCAGGGGTGAGCGATAGGCTGGGCTGTTGTCATGGCTCCCAAACACCTGCTTCCCTACTGAGACTGTCCCCCTCCTCCCCACCAGGTGCTGCTGGTGTGAACCAAAGACTGGGTGTTTTCCAGCCAGCGTGTGGGTGAGGGGCAGCGAGACCAACGGCAGACCCCCCGAGGGAAGGTCAGGCGAGGAGGTGGCCCAGCAAGTGACCTTACTTTCCAGATGTTGCATGTCAGGTCACTCTACCAACTAGAACATTCTCTGCAGGGGGCCTGGCCAAGGAAAGTGAGCCCCCTGCTAATGCCGGGGCACTTGGACTCCTCCAGCCCGGCAAGTGCAGGGAGCCCTGAGTGGGTGAGACCGGCGGCAGCCAGGAGGGCCCCTTGAAGAGCGATTCTGGAAGGAAACAGCTGGGATTTTGTCAACTGGAAGTCAAACTCCTATCCCTCTCCAAGGCCCTTTTTTCTGTTCCTGAAAGGAAGGATAAAGGGGAACATTCCAGAGAAGGCACTTCAGAGTTCTCCAGTAACACGGGGACATTCCAGCCCTGACTCTCCTCCAAGCCACACCCACAGCTGGCCCGGTGCAGGTTTGATGGGCGCAGGAAGAAGAAAGGCGGTGGGACAAACAAGGGAGTAGGAGGTGCTTTGCAGCAGGAGAGCTGAGTGGCCCAAGAAGCCCTGCACCACGGCTGCAAGGAAACCTCCGGAGAGCGGAGTGCAGGAGTCCTTTAGAAGCAGATCTAGAGCAAAGCCCTGGGTCATAAAGGCAAATGGACATGGGTTCTGGCCTCTGCTGGTCCCCCACAGAAGGAGTGGCACACCTGTGCATCCACAGCTTAATTGCAATGCCCAAGGGGAGCCCTCTGCAGTTCTGCATTTGGACAGACGGTCAGCTTTCATCGCCCGTGAATCCTCATTTGCCCCACACAGGAGATGAGTTAATAATGCCCCATTTTCAGAAACGGGACCTTGTGACGGAGGTGGCTTCTCGATAGGCCAGAGTAGAATGTACCTTGGGGCGGTCCCGGCCCATCTTTTTCGTCATCACCTGGCGGGGTCAGTCTAGAGAACCTGGTCGGCCATGCCACTCCACGACTGAGGAGCCCATGGGCACGTGTGTCTGTGTTCCCGCTGGTTTTCCAGAGAACAGGGCTGTCCACATCTCCCGGAGCACACTCTTCCTGAAATCCCCTCACCCCACGCCTCTGCCATCGCGTGCTCGCAGATTCCCTCCTGCTCTTCTGACCCCTCCCCTCACCCTCAAAGCCTGGGGCTGTGGCTGCTCACTTCTCCATACTTGTCCACACAAGGGGCATTTGAGTGTTTTCTCAAGACCTTGTCCACCACCTGCTCTCGCTCTGTGGCGAGCGCCTAGTTGGCCCACCATGTTTGTGTCATCACTGTACCGGGAGACTGACCCACTAACCCACAACAGCTCTGCCCCGAGGCTCCCAGACGTGTTGCAGTAAATCCAGGGCCGCGGTTTCCTCCGTTAGCAGCCCACTGGGTTTGAGAGTCCATGTCGGGTTTACGTAGAATGAGAGATACTTGAATTCCTGAGTGCCTGGGAGCGCCCAGCTTCTGTCCCGCGGTGCGAACAGATGGCATTGTCGTGAGACGAGAGCGAAGCCTGCAGATCTCGATGACGCTTGAGCCTTTGATGTAACTTTTTATGAAGTCTTTGTGTATCTTGACTCCTTAATAAAGAGAGCGGCACTTGTCTGCCTTGCTTCCTCTTCAGATCTTTCCCAAGCTTGGCTGAGAACACCGGGTCGGCAGCATTTTGCCCAGGCCACCTGCTTGTAGACCACGGTGTTGGTTCTGGCCAAACCTAGATTCAAGCAGACCCTGCGGACGACCCCGAGTGGTGTCTCTGCCCTGCATGGAGCCAGAGGGTGCAGGTGGACTTGGCCCTGGGTTCCAGCCCTGCCACTGGCCTTTGTGTGGGCAGGACGAAGGACCAGCCTCTGCGTGGGCGGGACTGTGCACCCCTGCGTAGCTCAGGGCCTGGAGCTGAGTGTAGGTGTGCGTGGAAGGGAGCCTAGAACCGGGAGGTTTTTACACAGGACACTCCCGTTCCTGGAAACCGCCCCCACCCCCATCCACTGGGTCGCAGTCTTGTTGATTGAACCGAGGGGGCACTTGACCAGGTTGAGTCTCCGTGCTTCCGATTATGCAGGCCTGTGCCCTGGAGTTGTCACTCCTTCCTGTCCTATACCTCACATCCAATCGGCCAGCAGGTCCTGTCCACCACACCTGCAGAACTTAGCCAGAACCTGCCATTTGTCACCACCTCCGGGCCAACGTCCAGCCCAAGCTGCTGTCACCCAGACCTGTTGCACTTGTCTCCCTACAGTGCGTTCCCAACACAGCAACAGAGAAGAATGGAAATTAAATTATATCCTCAACCACCCTAGTGGTTCCCACCTCACGTTTTTGTTTAGTGATTGCACAAGAAGGGGGCACCCTCAACAGGGTCCCATCATGCCATGATCCTCAGTCCCCAGGTCCCAGGATCCAGGATGCTCGTGCATGTGCCCAGCCTCTTTTCAGGCCACCCTGGGATCCAAACCATGGCCACCGTGTGGCTTCCAGCCTTGCAGAGCATTTGTATCACTGCTGCACCACAGTGGCCGGGCCCCTCTCACCTCTAAGACGTGACACTGAACACTTTGTAATGGCCTGATGTTCATCAGCTACAGAGAAAGACAAATCTGAAGGCAGCAAACACTCAGCTCTGAGCCGCACACCAGGGCTATTGAGAACATCAAGGCCCCATCACCATGGGGCCGACAGTGGTGCAATGGTAAACCCCATGCTCCGTGAGCCTCATAGCAAAGGTTCTGGGTTCACATCTGGAAGCCTCCCTTGAGTATGCTAGGCTTCCTAGCATGTGCCCATGATCCTGGGCTGGCTGAGGCCCGGTCACTGCACCAAAATCCTGTTGGAGGTGCTCAGTCTCTCTCTCTCTCTCTCGCTCTCTCTCTCGCTCTTTTTTAGCTATTTTTATTTTTAATCTTATTTATTATTTTTTCATTTGACCAGAGTGAGAGAGGAAAAGTGAGAAAGCAAACTGCCAGGTCTAGGACTCAAACTGCTGTCGGCTATGTCAGAGTCCAGCGTCTTAACCACACCACTTGCTGGCCCCTCTATCTCTTGCTCTTGGAAGAAAGAAGGAAGGATGATAACTTAAAGGAAAGAGCAAAAACATGTCAGAGCAGTTCACAGCCCAATGGGGGGTGATAAACTGTTGTGACTTGTACATTAAGAGGAAGCGCTTATCAAGAAGTTTAGGAACCCGTTGCTTGGCACTGAGCTCCTCTATCGGCCCAACGAGCAAGACCAAAATGGAATCTCTCATGCTACAATGCCACGTCCTTGAACTGCCGCTTTAAGGAAGGGAATATGTCCTCAGAGTAGGCCAGTTTCTCCTGAAAATGGGAGACTGCAATCTCCCTGAGTCAGCGCTGAGGAAATAAAGCTCACCCGTGTCTAATCGCTGTCTAGGGACGTGCAGCCCAAATACCCCTAGATGTGACCTAGACATTTTTTTAGGAGCAACCTTGTTGCCCAGACACATTCCTCTTTAACCTTCCAGACTCAGTGTCTCCGCTTTGTGCTTAAGATCCAGTGACGTGGGACCAGCAGTTAGCATAATGGCTATGTCGCTGGACTCCTACGTAGTCGACTGCGGTTTGAGTCCCGGACCCGGTGGCTTAAATTCACGCCAGGTGCATGTGCGTGCGTGCCCAAGATCCCGAGAGGAGAATGGAGGAGAAGGGATTGTGGCGTGGCCATCCCCCCGGGGGGTGATTTCCTGCTTTCTATCTCTCTTTCTCTCTCTGTCTGTCTGGCGAGCACTTGCGCCCTATAGTGAAAACCTCTCCAAAAAAAAGATCCAGTGACATGACATCCCTGCCCCTCCCCCTCCCCCTCCCACCTGGGACTTCTGCCTCTGAACCCTGAAATCTGTAAGGCCTCTGCACGTGTTCACGGGGCAGCATGGATTTTGCGGTGCCTGGCGATCGTCCTAACCCTGGCTCAAGTCACGGTTTGGCTTCCTTACTGTTCCTCAACTGTCCTTTTTAGATCGACTCCCTTGACCTGGGGGAACTGGGAGGGGCGCTCTCATAAATCTTGTACTTAGTGGAGGAGAAGGTTGAGGTTATTCGCTGACCATGGAAATTTCACTCACACACTGGGCCCACTAATTGCACTGCCTTTTGAAGGTTCAAATTTCACATTTAAAAAAAATGTTTTTTGAGAGGTTTCTGCTATAGTGCGCGTGGGCTCGCCAGAAAGAGAGAGACAGAGAGACAGAAAGCGAGAGATCACCCCCCCACCCCAGGGGGGATGGCCACGCCGCAATCCCTTCTCCTCCATTCTCCTCTTGGGGTCTTGGGCACGCACGCACACGCGCCCAGTGTGAGTTTAAGCCGCCGGATCCGGAACTCGAACCGCAATAGACTACAGGGGAGTCCCGCGACATAGCCATTACGCTATCTGCTGGTCCCCAAATTTCACTTCCTAAAGCATGCCCAGTCCCCAGATCCACATCAGGACTCTGAAATAAAGCACCCTCACCTCTGTGCACTTCTGAAGCGGCTGTAGTAAAAGTCCCCGGGTCAGGGCCAGGTGGTGACGCAGCAGTAACTCATCCCCTCTGCAATGCAGGGACAGTAGGAAGGTTCCCAGCTGGTATCCCAAGGCCTCCCTGTACTCACCAGGCACACGTGTGTGTGTCTGTGATCCAACATGGATGAGGCTGAGAGTGACCATAGCATGAAGGCCCACTGTGGAGGTACCTACTCCCACCACCACTTCCTTGTTGAAAAAACAAACTTTAAAAGAGTTTCCACTGGGGCTGGCAGGTGGCATGGTGGTTAAAGCTGCTGGATTCCCACATGGCCTACCACGGTTCGAGTCCTGGACCTGGCAGCTTGCTTTGTCACTTTCCCTCTCTGTCTCTCTCTCACTCTATCCCTCTCTGGTCAAATTTAAATAAGTAAATATGGGGACCAGCAGGT